CCGGGCAGGCATACTAGAAGTAATTATAGAATAAGAAATTGTAGCATCGAATAAAACAGGGAAATGATCAGAAATCCCCACATCACAAATATCAATCACGCAGACAGGGACACCAAGAGAAAGCACCAAATCAAGATTATGGCCTTGAGCATGAGTAGGCCCACTTACAAACTAGGTCAAATTAAAAGAATCAATAATGTTGATAAAATCCTTAACCATGGGGTCTGTTGGACAGGACACATAAATATTAAAATCCCCCAAAATTAAAATTTTGTCATATTTTGGCATGATTCCAGCAAAAAAGTCAAAGAAATCACAAATAAAATTATTAAATTTAGGGGGGCGATAAACTACCACACACAAAATAGGACAGCTCACCTTTATCACAAACAGCTGCATTTCAAAGCTGGAATAAGCATCCATTGTAATTTGCTGACAATCAAAACAATTTCTAAAAATTGTTGCCACACCACAACCTCTCCCTGTAATCCTCGGAGAGTTAAAGAACGTACAGTCCGGGGGAAGGAGTTCAGAGAAGGTTTCCACTTCACCGGGCCTCAGTTAATAGCATAAAATCCAGGCCACGAGCGGAAAAGAAGTCCTTTAGGATTAAAGTCTTGTTCACTAGCGATCTAGTGAATAAAACGTAAAGGACTCTGCCTTTTTGTTTAACTCGCTGGATATATCTTCATCAATCAGTTCCACATGGCGAGTCACTGTCCTGCGTGATATACAAGAGACCTGCTGGCTTTACCATGCATTCTTTCAAAAACTGGCCTTCGGAGAAAGGCTTGTTAGCCTTTGCTAATTTAATGCCAGCATAAAACTTGCCTTGGTACTTGACTCTTGAATCACAGTTTGTCGGTGAAAAATTTTTTGCCGAGTCTGTAAACTAGCCATCAGCCTCTGAGCAGTAGTTGTTGCCCACTCCTTATTAAACACTCGGCACTCACTGTAAACTTTTCTTTTCTTTGGTCTGCTCATTTTTACAGGAGGAGTCAAAGGGCAAAGCAAAAAAGTGAAGTAGAGGTCAATGTGTCTAAATGCGGGAATTGCAGGGAAAAGGCAAAACGAATGAGGTTTAATAACATAATTTAATAATATAATTTGGACAAGTTCGGCGGGCCGGATTAAAAAGTCTAATGGCCCATATATGGCTCGCGGGCCATAGTTTTCCAATGCTTGTGTAGTGTTTATTCAGTTTAATATAAATCAAGTGGAACAAAGGGGTAAACAGATGCTCAACCTGACAGGACATCACAAAACAGGTACAAAACTAATAGCTAAACAGAATGGTCAGGGAGCTACATGAAACAAACTCTAAATAACAACTAAAACAAACCCGAAGAACTAACCAGGAATCTTGCTGACAGGGAAAAACTCAAAAGAACAGTCCAAAAGCAACCAAGGCAACTGATACAGAAACTTATAAAGTGGACAGGCAGGGTGTGGTACACAGAGACGGATGATGGGGGCAATAAAGCATGGAGAACAGATGAGCCAGCAACCAGACTGAAGGAAGGGAGGAGGATATATAAACAGGAGACCAGGAGGTAAGGAGCAGCAGGTGGAAGCAATGAACAGAAATTTTGAAGCGGAGTAAAGCTGGGGCAGGTGAGGTAACACAAGACAGGAAATCTAACCAAAATAAAAGCACAAAACACAAAGCAAGTCCACAAACCATAACACCCAGTCTATCAGCACAGGCACCTCTCAGGGATGTGTGCTCTCGCCACTGCTCTTTTCCCTCTACACTAACAACTGCACCTCAGAGGACCCCTCTGTTAAACTCCTGAAGTTCACAGATAACACAAAGGGCTTCTGTGTTATCTGAGATGGTGATGAGTCGGCCTACAGACGGGAGGTTGAACTTCAGGAGAAGCCCTCCACCCTATCCCCCTTCAATATACTCCGCAGCACTGCATCAGCAGTAGAGTCCTTCAGGTTCCTGGGCTCCACTATTTCTCTGGACCTGAAGTGGATGTCCACCATCAGCACCATCACCAGTAAGGCACAGCAGAGGATGTACTTCCTGTGTCAGCTCAGAAAGTTCAACCTGATACAGTTCTACAGAGGAATCATCGAGTCTGTTCTCTGCTCATTCATCACTGTCTGGTTTGACTCAGCAACCAAACAGGACAAGAACAGACTCCAGTGGACAGTCAGGACTGCAGAAAGAATCATCGGTGCCTGCCTGCCCTCTATGCAGGACCTGTACACCTCATGGGTCAGAAAGAAGGCAGAGAGGATTTCTGCAGACCCCTCACACGCTGGTCACAAACAGGTCAAGGATAAGGATAATCACCTTTATTGGCCAAGTATGTTACACACAAGGAAATTGTTTCCGGTACAGAACTGAGGCAGCCATCTGCAGCTCCAACTCAACCGATGGCTCTAACCATCGGGGGCAACTTGGGGGTTCAGTGTCTTGCCCAAGGACACTTCGGCACGTGGACTGCAGGCACCGAGATTCAAACCTTCAACTGTCCAGTTGGGAGACGACTGCTCTCCCCACTGCACCACTGCTGCCTCCCCAGTGTGAACTCCTCCACTCCTCTACTCGCTATAAGTCACTGTACGCCAAAACACCCAGACATAAAGACAGCTTCTTTCCCCAGGCTATCACTCTGATGAACAACTAAACCATGGCTGTATAACAGAACAACAACCCTCAGTGCAATACCTTGTAAATATACTTTTGTATATGTCTATCTGCAAAAACTGCATTTAAACTGTGTGTGTATAATGCACATTCCTTTTCCTTGTTTGCACATTCATTTTCTCTTTTATGTTTTCCTCGCTTTTACTGGCACCTGGAAATAATGCAATAATATGGTCAGTATATAATTTTTCTACAGGGGTAAAACAGTGGCAAAGCTGTGAAGACATTACATTTCTGCAAGTTTGTGTTCTGCTTGTTCAACAGCTGTTTGATAAAATGGTCATACTGTCTCTGATACTGGAGGGGCACAGTCCCTTGAGAGCGACAAAGAGAAAAATACAGTAAAGCAAAATAGGATGGTCTGCATCAACTTTTGAAGTTATGCTGGGTGATGGTAAAGGGAAGCACGCACAGCACCAATAAATTAGGTTCTGACAGTGGAAACATATCTATAATGTGCAGCTGGAACACCAGCATCCTTGCTGACAAACTGCTGTGCTCTGAATGAGATGGAGCTGCCTTCTAATAGAGCTAGCTTGGTCAGATAACCAGTACGCACAACCACAGACATGTATACGTATATAGCATATGCCAATGCTCACAACTCCAAAAATGTCAGAGCAAATTCTAAATTGGTATTGTCTAGACAGACTGACCACATATTCTCAATCTAAGTGGTTACTTTGTCACCTGAAAAAATGTCAAAACTTAATAAAATGCCATAATACCAGTCCTACAGATGAAAATGATAACAATTTTGAGCCTGGCTCCAAATGTCAGTCAACAGGCTCTCGCCCAGCTGTCACTGCATAGAGTAGATCGGGGTACAGCGGGGTGGACTGAGTGACAGCACTCCATTGTCACTGAATGGGCAGCTGTCATTAACCCAGGGCCTTGTCTCCATATGTGTTCGGAGTGCTCAGCAGCACAGCTGTGCACTTTGGTCACAAGGAGGCTCACATACAGTCATCAGCCTTTGCAGCACTCACATTAGTGAATAATCTTGAAAAATATTCCTACATCCAAATTATGCCATGATTAGCACAAAAACTGAACCAATAGTTTCATGGCCTATATCCCCCCCCCCCAAAAAAAAATCATCCATATCTGTTTGTTACTTCTTGAGTTATGTTGTTAAGATTCAAGCACACAAACAAATCAACAAATGCTGACAAAAACATAACCCCCGCCCTTGGTGGAGGTAATAACAAAACTAACATAGATCTTTAGTATAACTTTGTGTGAAACCAAAAATGGCCACCAGAGAGATAATATTAACATAATCTTTACAGTAGTTCAACCTACAGAACACTTAGGTGTTTGCCTTTTGACTGTGCTTCCTCAAAAGGCAGCCTAATCCCTTCTATACTCACAGTGCCAACTTTCAAACACTGAAACATCAGTGCAGTATATTCCATTTTGAAGATATGTCGATTATAAGTTTAGCATATTTGTAAATAAGCTATTTGGGAAAATTCCAACTGACAGTGTAAGTATATGGAGCTTTGCGTGGTGACTATGTCTACCATGTGGCCTACTCAATGTTACATTAGGCCACAGTTTAAGGGCAGCCTATTCTTTTGTATTCCTGGAACCCACAGTCACAGGACATGTCATTAGAACATTATGAAAACCAACCCCCGTTTTTCCAGAGGTGAAATTAGTTTGAAGTTGGACATTCAGCTTAAAAGCCCTCCATGCAACCGAATGCTGAAAAGTGCTCACCGTAAGTAGGACAACAGGACCTCACCTATTAAAGAACCATCTGTA